AGGGGAAAACGTGGCTTGAAAAGCAAATTCACATTATTTTCTGAGTCTTTCTCGTGATTATTCACTATCATTTCAACTCATTTACTTAAACATCAGTTTATGCTATCCATAAACTTAAATGTCTTGATGTCTGGATATCCGATCAAACACAGTGTCCTATGTTTTATATACAGTGTAAAATCGATTCAAATGATCACATGTGGACCATGGAAGTCTGGGCTGAGTTGCTCAAACCCTGGTTAGCCCCAATCCTGGGTTAACAGTAAAAAAAATAAATGAGTTTTCTTGGTAAAAACCTTGGGCTATCACTAATGGCTCTTCCAACAACTCACCGCTGGACATATAACTGTGAAAGGCAGAAAACCTTGAACCCCGCAAATTTCTGGAATATCACATGTATTTGTACTTTTTCACTCGCAGTAAGTTCAACTATAGCTGTCTACAGGGTAATCATAAGGAGACATACAACTATAATATATTATTACATGTAAACCAATATTCCAGTTTACTTTTAAATAAATAATAATGACTGTTTATTAAGACTCATTGCAGCAATATACAGAATGGCTGAATTAGAGAGCTATTTACAAAACATATAATACTAAAATATAATACAATAAATCCAATAAATACTAGAAAATATAATTGTACAAGCCACTAGGTACACTTATGCGTGACAAACTCTTGCGTGCGCTAGGTCCTACAGGTAGGACGCGTGGAGCGGCTAATGCCAGATCTAAGATTATAATTATGCACAACCTCCTCCTGTTTGGGGAGCATAAAATGCTAGGGGTGATTCTCAGTCCGAAGTCTATCAATATAAACCTGGCATAGATGCGCGCGTCTGTCACTTACAGTTGTTAAATTAAGGGCATTTAATGCCTCGTAATTCATTAAAGGAAAAATGATGCACATAGCCCTTTTCTGAATGCTCTCAATCTTATAAGATAGAAAATCTGGTATATTTTGCCAGACAGGGGCAGCATATTCTAGAACAGGACGAACAATGGTTGTATAAACCTTAACCAGTGAAGCTGGAGGTGCACCACATTGCTTAAGGAGCAGCTCTCCTTTTTGCCCATTGCCAAACTACTACTCTGTGTAGGATATCGACCCTTAGGTTTGCTCCAAATACAAACTCATTGAGGTCAATAAGTCTTAAAGTGTCTTCCCCAGTAAATGATGTCACCCAGGCAAGAATTCCTGAGTTGTGATTTTCATAATCTCGCTTGGCAATAAATTTGCAGACACTTGGAGTGAATACACCTGTAAAATATTGTAAAATGTGAAAGAACAACCTTCTGCTGAGTTGTAATTTTCATAATCACGCTTGGCAATAAATTTGCAGACACTTGGTCTGAACACACCTGTATAATATTGTAAAATGTGAAAGAACAACCTTCAGCTTTGTTTCATTTGGGAGATATCTCTCACAAAATTTAACCCGTAAATGAAATTAGAAATGAGCCCTTCCACAAATTTTTAGCAACGTTCCACCTCAGACTTATTGAGTAGACGAAAATTCACTGACGCTGCGGGAAAGATGGCCTTAAAATTAAATAACTTGCCAAGTTTCAAAGAGAGAGGTCAGAAACAAGTGAAGATATAACTCTGTATAGTTTTACAGACATTTGTACAAAAATTTTGTGACATTAACATTATGGAGGGTCCACAATAGGTTTGGCAGGATGCAGGATTTGGCTATTTTTCGTGGTGATACGCGGGATGCGGGCTGAAAACAGGAGCGAGATGCGGGAATTTTAATAACCAGCGGGAGCGGGATTTCCTATTTTTATGGGGATGGGATGCGAGAATCGTAAGGCAAAAATAGCGGGATATGGGAATTTAGTTTTGTCTTGACTAAAAATTTATATTAGCGACTGAAAGAAAATGGTTCTTTAGTGTGCATACCGCCTTTGTAGTCAAGCTATGAGTGTCAAAAGGAAGTGAAGCCTGTCAAATTTTGACCATTATCACTTTCGTGTGTTTGCTAATTACGTCGTTTTCGTCACTCGAAAAGAGGTTCAAATCACTGAGATTAGAAGTCACCTTCATTAAGATCCTGCGCTGATCTGCACTGCTATTTTGTTGACGGATTTTACCTTTTCTGCTTTTGCCTGGACGGACCTGTCGGACTTAGACGATCCTTTGGACTGAGCGTTTGTTAAGTAAGTCTGGCCACGGTATGGCCACACCAGAACTGATGGAAGTGGACAATGACGACAATGTGGTAGTCATCATAAATTGTGTGGCTCTGTATTACGAAAAAGGTGCCAGTGGGAATGGGTTTCTTCCGAAAGAAAAATTTAGAGCTCCTGTTTCAAGGCAAGTGAAGACCTTAAAAGTCTTAAAAGAAACAGTCAGGTGAGTCGACCTGAGTTTAAGAGTTCAAGAAAACTCAAAAGAGGTCTGAGTTCCAACGACCTCATCACATTTGTCATGGATCTATTATAACGGTAACCTGGAATATCAATGGACTTTGTGCCCCGCGCTATGGGCGTCAAAGGGTCGCCACTTTGGATGGAGAAGTAAACGTCCTGCTTGGAAGGGTGTCCGCATTTGGTCGTGCTATTCGATTCAATAGCATTTCTCAGTCTTTACAACCAGTACATGTTTACATACATTTTCCATGTCCTACACTCCACATAAACAATTGACAGAATTGGCTTCATCGCCTGATGGAAACTAGCAGCAAAGCAGTCAAATCATCGTGAGACAGACAGATAACATCAATCTACCTAACTCCAAAAATACAGGAATTAAAATATCGAAGTAAACATGTACCGATGCGCAGACGAAAAGATAAGCACAACAGTAAATAAAGTTACAGTCGCTTAGAATCTTAACCATCAAAACTGACAATTGTTAGAAGGTAAGTCTTATATAACGTCTATTTCAATAATCGAGCAAAAAATCTCGTAAAAAAATGGGACAGGATCGGGATTCGGGCATAAAATAGGACAGGATGGCGGGATTGAGAAGAAATAAAGGAGGGAAAGCGGGATTTCAGAACCCCTATTGTGGACCCTCATTCAATGGGTTTTTGTCAGCAAGCACATGTTAAAAGTTGAAAAACCTTTGGAAGGGTTATTAGCAGGCAGGAATAAAAGGGAGGTAAATGCAAGAAAAGCACAAAAGGAAGTCCGCTCTTCCCTCTCTCCTGTTCCTCAAATTCTTCTTCCCTTCTTTTCCCTGTCTCCTGGGGAAGTTATATCCCTGTCAAAATTTGCCGCATCAAATGCATGAGATTTTCGTCTTATCATGACCAGAATTTCTGAAAACATCCCAACAACTTCTGAAGCTGTCTGATGATTTCCTTAAGACTTCTGAACGTTGCTGAAACAATCTGAAGATGTTTGGGAAAAATATTAGTGCGTTTTGGTACAGTTAGGTCACAAATATTCTAAGGGAAATTGAACTGCACTTTTGTTATTAGTCATGTGTTAAAGAACAATTTGTCTAGATTTGTGAGTCAGGCATGAGAAATTGTCCCTGATGCATGAGATCCATGCCTTAGGTTCGCAGGCACGAGACTCCCGCATTAGGCACGAGAGTTGGCAAGCATAAATGCATAGGGTTACTCCCTTATATGGCCTATAATTATGGGAATGTGCCACTGGACAGGATATGGTTTTTGTCTTATCTGCCCTACACAGGGTATACAATTTCTTGGACGTCTGCCCTATACAAAAGTAATGTTACTGCAATGTACACGGGTGCACCAGTGAACCACAATATTTTTTGACATTATACGAATTCAATATCTATATTTGAACAACATATAGACTAACATATCGTGATATTATGATTCTTCATCAACAATTCAGAAATTACTGTCTTTAATGACTCCTTATGCAAATCCAAGCCCTTTTATAGCTTCTTATTAAACAAAGGGACAAGAAAGTTTCATCCTTGCTTCATAAACCTTCGCATGCTTCCGATTCGATACATATTTTTCTAAGATGGCAGCACAAACGCATGTAAATTGCGTAGTTCCAATTAGCTGTCAGCTGACTTAGTCGTGCGCACCCATGGGTGAAACATGCTGTTTGTCAAAATAAGCAGCAAGATTACGTCACTTGTCAGTTGTATGTAATGCATACTGGATGTATGGTATCGTGTATTGTATAGTGGCACCTGTATCAAGATATGTATCGTATCATTACAAACCCTAAAAAGCAATGATTGAATTGTACATTTGCTCAGTTGTAATTGCTAACACAATGAGTTAAAAAAACAAGATTGTATGAATTTTTCCCTTTGTCCTAAACAGGGTAATACAATTGAGGGTAGTGTCGTAAACAGGGCGGGTATTTTAGGATTTTTTTTTGTCCTAACCATGGTCAGGGTCTTTCAATGGCTCACCTATACCCAAATATTGGTTGGGTACCACGGACCTCTGGGGCCCCTGTCATACAGGTTATATTAAGTAATGATGCGGGTAAGGTGGATAGCAATTTCTTTTGTTATGCAGCAACGGTGCTTTCCCCATATAGGAATGTTCTCATTTTTACACAGAGAATGCATAAACCTACATGAAGGCCGTTTACGCAATAAAATGCATTTACACTCCACTTTGAAAGGGTGTTTTTTTGTGTTTAAAGATTTTGACCAATCACAAGAGTTGAAAACAATAACCAAGAAAAGTTTACAATTTTACATGTTCCCCACATAGGATTTCTTTGTTATTCAAACTGAGACCAGATTTTGTTATATGGAAGATGGTTGGAAAGTAAGGATGAACATTATGAAGTTTTGTTAACTTTTGCTGTTTAAGCCAATCAGAAGTAAGTACAGACAATAGAAAAGTTAGCACCTTTTTTGCATTCCAACATGTTCGTTGCCGTTGTTGCTATCGTTCTTATCTGGACCGTTTCTTAAAAATTAAGATGTATCAAGGTCGTGTTTTACCCACCATAACAAGGCAATGATTCCACATCCAGCGGTTTTGGTTTTGGAGGAGGAGCAAGAGGCTTCGTTGTATATTTGTTATACCATCTAAATATTGCCACCTATATCACAATAATGAGATCACGTTAAATAAAAATAAGTTTAAGTAATTTGCTTTATACTGACAATTGCAAGCTAGCGAAAATAGAAATATGATAGGTGACAAATTAATGGCAACCTTCCGTACTTCTCAGTGTCAAGATGGCGACGAAGTTTTAAAATGTCATGAATGAAGATGTCAGGGCACAAAAAGACGCTTTAGAAAACCTGAACACACGAAAGAACACATCAAGAAGGATTCTAACACGTATTTTGTCGAAAAACTCTGAACGTAAGCCAAATTTAAGCGCTAAACGTTCGAGAGAGAGTAGGAGTTCTCGATCGACACGATCCAGGACAAACATGTCAAAAATCCACGATTGTTAATGTAATTCGTCACCCATGATATTAATAGGTAATCAAATGGTATACTCGTGAAATTACGGAATAATTTCACTTGCGTTTTGTCCAAATCCTAATAATTTCCCGAGCCTTTAAATTATAAGGATTTGGACAAAACGCGCGTGAAATTATTCCCTAATTTCCCTTGTCACCATATGATTACACATACTTATTTCTGTTATTTCATAAATAAATTTATAACTCTGACCTGGCACTGTGGTGAAGTTGCTCTTACAAAACTAGGATTAAAAAGGAGTTGAAATGGTCTCAGGAATCTGGTCGTTAACGCCATTATTGCTAAGGCAGCATTAATGGTTTTTAAAGTTGCACAGAACGAGGTATCACCGACGGAGTTCTTTCACGTGTGATTTTGACGAATGTTAATTGAAGGAGTTACTCCTTCCTTGGTTGACCGCTGTACAAAAGTAACTTGGAAGAAGGAACATGGTTGTTTTGATCTTGTGTCATCACAGGCAGACCACCCTCTGTTAGTGGGGGCCGTTGTTGATGGGAATCTGAGCAACGATCTTTCGTTATTTATAGATTAAGAAATACATATGAAAAATACGGTGGCTATAATTTGCTCCAAAATGCAGAATTTAAAGCAAATTTTTCAATAAAAGTGTGAAGAAAATGTTAACTGAGTCATGTGTCATGTCTTTTTCGCCGTCACTTGCTGTTTTAAGCCCTATTTTGCGAGATGTATTCTAACCGTCGAGGTCAAATATTCATCTCGCAAATGAAGGTCGAGAGTCCGTCGAGAGACTTTCCAGTGGAATGAACTCGGGAGAACATGGCCGGCGATCGCCAGGATGCCGCTGCACAGTAAAACAAAACTGAATGCAGGGCTCACACTACGGCAAAGGGCTGATTTACTATAGGCCAATATTTCCGCCTTCCTCAGGGCCAGAGCTTTACTGCGACAAAGTCTTACTGGGGGGGTGAGACCTGTCTAACCGACTGTCTTCTTCAGTAGAAAGGTGTATTTCAAGAAAAATCTCTTAAATATTTAACCTGAATTCCCATAAAAATCCTTTATGTTTACTGCCATTTCAAGGATTGTGCAACTTGAGACCGCACATGTTAATGATTAGGGGTCGACCATTTGACTTTTGAGGGAAGGTATGACAGGCCCGTAACCAGGGGGGGTGCACGGGGTGTGTTCCCCCCCCCCACAGGTCCCAAAGGTCCGCATTTTGATACTCAATATCCAAGTTGAGGAGTGCAGTCGGTTAAACTGAAGTTTCAAACGTAACAGTGATATTTAAAGAAAATCAAAGTATGGAAAAAGCAGTAGTGTATTCGCTGGGAAAATAAAGCCAGCTGCACTCTAGTAGCCCGAGCCATTCAGAACATTTCAACGAGCGCACAGATGTCCGAGCTTATGAATAATGAAATTGACCTGCGCACGCTTTGCACTGGAGTTTACGACGAGCGAGCCAATAGGGAACTTAAGAACCACAACGAAGTTCACGACGACGACGTCTGTTGACTGGGAAAGGACTGGAACGAGAACGTCAGTTTCGGCGGGAAAAAGGAAACTTAAGATGCAGTCGATCGATAGGTCGACGACGACGACACTGAATGTAAACAAACATGTAGAAGTAGTACAACTGTGATGTTCATTCGCAACAAAGTTTTTTCGCAAAGGCGTCTTTTAAGACAATGCAAGATCTTATTTTATAAGCCGTACGTCTACTTTCTTTGACGATGAAGAATTTTTAGTGTTGTCTGACCTTTTCGAATGGAAAAATCTCTGCTTTCCGTACGAAGGTTATTCAACTTTCAACCTGAATGACATGACCGAGTCCGAGTGTCTGTCAGAGTTTAGATTTGGAAAAAGAGACATTCCGATGCGATAGCTGTTTTCCATATAAAGTTCATTTCCTCTATATTAAAGATATATGATTTGCCTGACCTAAATACGTACAAATAAATTTGTCACTTACGAGTTCGCTCGCTGGCCTGCACAGCTCAGTGTTGTCTTCGAAGTAAACACAATTCATCGGTCAAATTTTCAATCAACATCGCTTGTTAGCAGAAAAAAAAAGGATACCTGGATTTACGAGGTGAAAAAATACAAAGCCCTTGAAAAATCGCTTAAAAACA